CCGTCCCGTCCCGTCCCCGCCCGGCGGCGGCGGCGGGCAGGAGGGAGCGAGCCCGCCGGAGACGAGCCGGGAGATGCCGCCGCACTCGCCGGCAGCGAAATGACGGCCGAGCAGGATGGGGACGGGGGGACCTTCAGCTCCCCACACCCCTCCCGCCTTCGGGGGGTTTTTTTTTTTTTTTTTGGAATTTTTTTTTCCTTTTTTTTTTTTTCCTCCTTTTTGAGAACATTTTGAACCAGCAAAACCAACAACAATCTATCAAAGTACGTGCTGAAAAACGTAAGAGAATGAGCAAATAAAGAGAGGAACGGAAAGGGGAGAGAGAAAGGGGAAAAAAAAAAACCAACAACCACAAACAACCCCGAACGCCACCAACGCACCACCCAGCAAAAAGCTTCTCAAGCCGGCGGAAAGAAAACTCTCCCTCCGGAGCCTCCAGACAAAAGATCAGAGACTCAAACTCCTCCGGCCCCTGTGCCTCCCCGCCCGGAGCAGCCAGCACCCTCCCGCCCCCCGAACTGTGTACATAGCCGCCCTCTCCTTCCTCCGGCGAGGTGGGGAACGAAGTTTTCCTGGATTCTTGGTGTATAGAAGTTCGTCCCGTTTGTAAACCGCGGATTGGTTCCCCCCCCCCTTTTTTTTTTTGGTCGTCTTTCTGGGTTTTTTCCCCTCTTCCTCCCTCCCTCCCCGAGAAAGTGATGGACTTGTTTTCTTTTCTCCCGCTGCCCCTCCCCGCCCCCCTCTCTCCTCCTTTTTTAGTTCACCCCTTTAAAAAAAGTAACGTGGAAGAAAAAATGGTTTCTTTTGTAATTGTGATATCTTGAATATTGTGTTCCTTTTTAAGAGGCAACTTGATTGTAAACTGCATTTCAACTATAGACTGGGGAAGAAATACCGTGCCAAAGTCTCCATTCTGTTACTCACGGACACACACACGAACAAACAACGCTTGTGAATGTATTTTTTCTGTTAGCTGGGTTTACATGTGATGTTTTAGTGCTTTTGCAAGTTCAATTTGTTAGTTCCTGTTCGGAAGATTGTGAGGAAAAATAAACGTCGTGCCGTTAGCTTTTCCGTAATAACACCCTTCCTCCTGTAAATACCTGTTACCATATTTATCCATTTGTAATTAAATTATGGTATTAACTTGCTACAGAGGAAACAGTATTTATAAAGAATGTTTCTTAACTATAAATATGTACAATTGTGAGCATAAACTGTTTCAGATTTTTTATTTGAAGGTTTAAGTGGTTTCATCATTTCTTGTGATATGTTTTGAGAGTAATGCATACAGAAATATAATAAAACGTGTTGAAACTGCACGAGCCGTTTCCTTTTTATGCCAAGGGCTCTCTGAAACCTGCGCTAACGCCTGTGAGGGGCTGAGCGGCGGCCGCAAAACAAACGCCTTTCAAAAATCCGCCGGTTGCTGGAACACGAGGATTTCTTCCAGCTGGGCTCCCCGCCCAGGAAAAAAAACCCCAACCCCCAAAAAACCCCCAACCAGACCAAAAAAACCCCAACATTTTGGGAAGCCTCTGGGCTACAAGGAAAGGGTGAGCGTTCGCCCATTCCCCAAATGACTTGCAAGGCAAGATGTCCTTTAGGAAGAGATTTTACCCGGCAAGAGCCCCCTTCCTTCGCCTTCCTCGGGCTTTCCCCTTCTTCTCCCGGGCCGCGTGGGGCTGGGGAGCTCCCTGCCCCCCCGGGGGACGAAGCGGGGTGCTGCGGGGCGAAGGTGGAGGGGGGACAGCCAGGCGCTGAGCTCTGCGCAGGGCTGCTTTCAGCCCTAACCCGTGTCCTCCTGCTCCTCCCGTGGTTTTGGTAGCCTCTATCCAGCCCTGGAGAGGAGAAAGTGGCGATGCCCGAGAGCTCACGTTTCTCTTGGAGCTTTTTGTTTGTTTGTTTCCCCTCTCTCTTTTTTTTTTTTTTTTAAGCCCAGGGAGCGGTTTGGGTTGTCAGACGTGTTCAACGAGGGACCGAGAGCTGCCGGGCGATGCTTTTCCCGGGGTGCTGGCCCGGCGCTGAGCTCCGCGGGAGCCGTCGGGGCCCGGTCGGTGGAGCCGCCCGTTTGGGACCGGCAGGCAGCGGCTCTCCGGGCACCCCCCCCCCCCCCGCACCGGGACACCCAAGGCGAGTGTGACAGCAGCCGGGAAACGGTGGAAAAACCTCGGCCTTTGCCAAGCCACCGAAATACGCCCCTGCGAAGAGGCAAACGCTGTGAGCCGGGCTCCGAGCGCCCTGCGGTGGCTGCGCTGCCTTCAGCGGCAGCTTGTGCAGGCAGGGAGAAAGCCCCGGGCTCCCCACACCCTGCCGACCCCATCGCCCCCACCCCTCTACCCCGTCGCTTTGGGTTTTTCGAGCTTTCTCCCCCATGTTCAAATCGCGATAGTGGTGTCCCGAGCCGGGGCGGGGGGAGAAATTGAGGGTACGCGGGGCCCTGCTCCTTTCTGGGGTGAGGTGGGGGTTACCTACACCCAGCAGGAGGGGAGGAGGGTGGGAAAGACCCCCCCGTCCCGTCCCGTCCCATCCCGTCCCGTCCCGTCGATGACAACGAAGTTCGGATGCGGAGCGGAGACGGAGCCTCCTCTGCGGCCGCCCCCCCCCTCCCAGCGCGGCCAGCCCCACGCACACGGGCAGGCTCTCCGGGTAATCAAACGGCTATTAAAACCTAATTTATGTTCGGTAATAATATTACGCCAAAAAAATATTTATTAAAATCACTGGCATATGCCGCCGGCCCCTCGGAGAGATCCGTGGGAAACGGAGCTGCGAGGATCCCTCTTTGTCCTTGCCGGCCTCCCAGCAGCCGAAAAACCGAACGGGGGTCCCGGGTCTGCTGCCCACCCCCACCAGCCACCGCTCGCCCGAATCCCCTCCCGGGCCCGGGGGAGGGGGCACGGCCAGCCCTGCCCCCGGCCGGCCAGAAGCTGGGCTCCCCCTTCTCCCTCCCCTCGGAGCCCTTCTGGTTTTGGGGGAGCCCCAGGGGGTGATAGCGGGGGTGTCCCGTGTCCCCCCCCCCCCCCCCCCAAAGCGCAGGTCGTGTGGCAGCAGGGGCAGCCCCGTTCCCTCTGGTCACGGCTGTCTCTCCCCCGGGGAAGGGGGGCCGCGGCGTCCGTGGCCGTCAGCAAACCTCCCCCCCCTCTTCCCTGTCCTCCCCGGCCCTGAACTTGACCCTGGCCTTGGCGCATCCAGCCCCTCTCCGCCCGCCTCCCCCGGGCCTTGACCCCGGCCCGGCCCTGCCACGCTTAAGGGAGAGCGGTAATTCATCGGGTTCAGGGCTTGGGTTGTTTGGGGTTGGGTTTTTTGGGGGGGGGGGGGGGGGCGGGACGGGGGGAGGGCAGCCAAGACCCGCGTCGCAGCCTTGTGCACGGGTGGCCCGGGCTCAGGGACCCCCAGCCCCGGAGTCTTCCTCTGCCCCCTCTCCTTCC